AGTAGCCGGAATATGGATGTATTTTGAAGCTGGAGCCAATATGAGCGGCTGAGAGGAGATAGGAACCAGGTGGGAGGGAGGAAGGGGCAAGTCAAGGGGGCTCTCCTAGGGGAAGCTGAAGAGCTGGAGATAAAGAGAGGAACCACCTGTGTCTCTCTCAGAGATCTTGACAGATTCTGTTCTAGAAAACATCACTCTGGAAGCAAAAAAGGGAACAGGCGGGCAGAGGTACAGGAACCAGTTACAAGGCTGTTCACACAATGGTCTGGTCACTCTACGAGGGGGGGTTTCTGGCAGGTGCCCAGATGCCCATATGGAAATCTCCACCTTGCTGTCTTTTGTGACATTTTAATCCACTGCCCTGGTAGAAACTGGCCAGGGCGGTAAGAACTCGCTTGTCACTTTGGGAACTGCAGTTGAGAATGGCAGTACGTTAACCAGGAGGTGCTTTGTCTACCTTCTACAAACCAAATAGCATCTTGGCACAGAAATGAGCCTGCAACAACTTCCTATTATGTATGGGGCAACTTCCCAGTTCTCAGACCTTGTTGCTTAGAGCTCCAAAGCTTGGATTTTGTTGTTGAAACCCTGAAGGTTGATTTCTCGACCTTCAGGGAACTGAGCTTCAGTCCAAACAATGTTTCCTGGCTGGGCCACTTGGTCACTGGCTCCACTCCAAACTTCTGCAGGCCCCTTAAGATCTCGTATTTCCTCAGTGAATGCCAAGATGAATGGAACCATGGTGGGGAGGGGTGGTTTAGAAATGAGTAATGAGAAGATAGCAGGGCTGTGAAGAAGGCATCTCAGTGGCCCCGGGACGCTGTGCGTGACCTGTTCACACTGTGATCGGTCTGCATCACCTGGACTAGTTGGCCGTGAAGGTGGGGAAGGTACTAACTTTGTGTTTGAAGCCCTCAAGCAGAGCACCCGACACCAGGCCAGCTCCTTGCTCGTCCCCTTTCAGACACTGATGACTGTCCGTTTCTTTCAACCCAAAGCTTTCCCTATACCCACAACTGTCTGCCGGGCCTTTGTCTGAATCGTCTCTCTCCCGGGCTGCTCCAAACCCACCACATCATCATTTCCAAAAATATTCATTGAGTCTTTCAGATCAGCATGAGGAAGCCTCCATTAAAACAACAACGACAAAAAACTCAGCACCTAGTGATTTTCGTAGCAGAAGAGATCCGTCCACTTGCTTTTCAACTGCTTCCCAACCTCCTGAGCTGAGTGCTTCAGTGGATTAACTTCCCGTCTGACCCGGCTCCCCGGGAAACCAGACCGGCACTGCTCTCCCCTCACGGGGAGTAACGTGAAACTACACTGAATCTCAAAGAGCCTCTCTCAATCCACCTTCCTCAAGGTTGCAACCCATCTACCAAACTTGGCAGCCACCTGACCCCTGAGGATCTTTGGACCTGGAGTAATTTCTCTCCCTCCACTTTGCCATTCCAGGAACTTGCCCCAAGCACACTATGACTAGCGTCTCCTAGCAAACTCCTTCCACTTCTAAGTTTGTGTTAAACCAGTTGCTGGTGGACTAAATTCCTGGGGGCAGGACGAAGAACACTGCTATCTGCACGTCAAGACCCTCTCGGACTTAAAACTGGACACACTCCACCAGGGAGGTGAAACCATCCCATTCAAACAGAGGCGGCAGCTGGGACTCGGATTTAAGCATACTAAAAGATATTATCCCCTATTGCGTTGGTTGGAAACATATTTCCCAGTTTCCGTGGCCTTTGCTTTTTGGACATATTGAATATGTAATTTGATTGTTACGCAGCCAACCTATCTTTTCCCTTGTGATTTATTCTATTGCCAGTCTGAAGTCTAGGTAAAAAGGGACTTATTTTTACTTCTAAATTTGAAAACAAAACTACTGACCCCATTAAGCATGGACACTGGTGTTGCTGGGAGGCACTAAGGAGTCCCTGCCCCCAGAGCGACTTTAATGTCCCACCACTTCCTTCCCCACCACTGACTTACGATGCCTGCTTTAAGGTACTATTAATTTCTCACTCACACATTACTTTTAATAACTTCTTTCTGGGAATAAAGACATTTATAGGAAATTTAGAAATTCAGAAAAAATCCAATTAATGAAAAATTACCCACAACTGCTACCCTACATAGCAACATTTGTGGTCTTTACGCTACACAGAAATATTCATTGTATCAATATAGGCACATATCCCTAAAAGGGTTTGTCAAAAACAATCTATTCCGGGGTGGTTAATAACTAAGCCGCCGTCTGCTGGACTAATTTTCACTCTTCCAGTTCCCAAACATGCCTCCCACTACTGTCCTTGGGACAAAATTCCCAGAGGTGAAAATCCTGGGCTAACAGGTAAGAACGTCGAAAACTCCTGATCTACCCTGTCAATCTGCCCTCGGCAAGAGTACCAATTTACACACACTCCCTCCAGCAGTGGAGGAAAAAACGTTTTTCATCTGAAAAAGGAAGCAAGGGCACTGTGCAGCTGCCCACCTGCAGGAGGAGAGGTGTGTGTCCTTGACTGTCTCGGGTCTGTGACCCAGTGATGGCTTTAGGACATGGGAACGTGCTATCAGCAGAAAGGTAAGGGTTGCTTCGAGTTAACTGATTCTGAAGAGCCAACCAAAATTCTTCTGGACACAGAACACCAAGTACAGCAAGGGAAGTAGGCTTTAAAAAACGGAAGTTCTCCCTCGACGGGGCCTGGCTGTCTGTCTGGGGCTAACGTGGTAACCCTGGGCCTTCTGGCAAAGGAGCAAGGCGGCCAAGGTGAGAAACCAGTCGGTCGTAAACGCCCCACACCACGCATCTGCCCCCTGACTGGGGGCACCGAGGGGCTGCAGACGGAAGCAGCCGACTTCCACTTCCTGCAACCACAGACGGGCTGACAACGACCCTGGCCGCCGTTCTCCTCACAGACTACAGCAACTTCAGGAAGAGGGTGTTTGAGGACGGGAGGCTTCGTGCCAAGTAGTCATCATAGTGACATTTAGAAAAACCAAATGGAGGGAAATTCTTTGCTACCATCACTGAGATATCATGGGACAATGTTTCAGTGCAAAAAGGGAAGAGGAGAGAGGGCCAAGAAATTAAAGTGGCCTTGAAAACCTTCTTCTGGAATAAAAAGCACAGCTAAGCCAGGAGTACTGGGCTTCCTACTGAAGAAAGAGCTGCTTTCCAAGGCCCCCATTCCCAGGGAATCAGCTTGTCGTAGGACCCATGGTGGCCGTGCAGTGGGCTCCTTGGGTGGCTAGATGTGGCTATTCCTCTCACTTGAACTCTACGCAAGTCTCGTCCTGCCTTCACAATTCGGGGCTCATCCAGACTAGACTATCTGCCCCAGATCCGTCCCTGGCAGAGGCTGGAGGCAGGATAGACCCCACTCCACCTGCGGAACCCGGGGCCCACCCACATGTGCCCCGTACTTACCCCCCGAGAGGGTGGTTCCACCGAGTCAGAGATGCTGGGTCAGGCAGCAAGCTGCGTGCTGCCTCAAAGACAGTGGGCGTGCGAAATAAACACGGACACCGTTTGGTAACCAACGATTTTTTTTTTTTTATCTTTGAAAATGGAAGCAAGTGTTTTGACAGAATACGATGGCCGCTCTATAAGAGCCGATCTAGCAGTAATTCACTGGTTTTCCTCTGGGATAGCATGGATTTAAAAAAAAAAAAGGCAAAACAGGAAAAATAATCCACAGAGCTTGAGGCGCCAACTGAGACTGGCAGGGAGTCCGTCCATTAACTAAGCCATAAACTACACACTAAGATCAGGATAACTCGCCCTCGCCCTCCTCTCCGAACCGCATTCCCTACGGTGTTTCACCGCCATCAACAATTTTGTTCACTTAATTAATTGGGTGTCTGAACCTTAGAACACTTCTGAATCTTAAAAATGAAGGTCCTTAGCAGATTATGTTGATAAAGAAACACATACAGGTTTGAATATAAATCACTGTTATTGTTTTCTTAACACCTCATTATTCACTTTAATATTTAAAACACACACGCACGCACACACAAAACCACACCAAACATTCAGATGCCCTGAAACCATGGAGACGGCAATCCCACGATTGGTAAAGAACACGGTACCTACTTCTCTATTCAGACACGAGGACGGCTTGACCATGCAGCCCAACCCACCGATGCCACGCTCTGCCTCAGCCTGGGTCCCCGCGCACAGACGCTTCCAGCCAGTCCCAAACCGTCCCCACGCCAGCAAGAGCACGTGCAAGGGTCCCCGCCGTGGTCCTAATGCTTGACACGATTCCCGTTCCACCACAGGCACTCAGCCCTTCCAAAGCAGAGGCTCTTTAAATCTTGTTCCTCAAGCACGCACTCTGAGAAAATGGAAATGGAGAGAAGTCCCAGCTAACCCGGGAGTGGGGCAGGCCATGGGAGATCAGTGTCTGGCTGGGGGCTGGGTAGTCTCTGTGCTCGGATCCAGCCACGGTGCAACTGCAGGGGGGCGCGGGGGAGTTTGTGAAGAGGGTGCGCAGGGACCAGCTGCACCATCAAAGCTACAGCAGATGTCTGCTTCCTTCTCGAACCTCCTCCCCAGTCTCAATATCAATATTCAACAGCACCCTCTGGCCTCAGCTTAGCAGAATGCAGTTAGCACCGAAAGGCAGGAGGAGGGAGGGACGGCCGAGGGAGCCCTGAGAGAGGGGGCTGCATACAGGAGGGAGAAGAAAGGGCAGGAGCTCCAGGGGTGTGGGGGACCTGTCTAACACAGCGAAGGGCAGCACGGGACACGCAGGAAAGCAGAGGATCACGTGGGGCAAACGCTTCCCTCCAGGTTCCCTAGTCTGTCTCACCCCATCCCAGGGTACTCGGGAGCCAGGCCAGCTGCTGAAAGGGACAAGAAGGAACACCCCACAGCACGTGTGGCTCCTCGTCCTGGACACCCTTGTCAAGTACTAACCAAAACCTGGAACATGACGTTAAAGTGATGAAGGTAATACATTCTATGTGTGTAACAAAACCGCAGAAACACATGCTAGTTTAGGTTCGATTATAATCATCTGAAGCACAGGATAACCAAGAAGCAAAGTTCCATTCTGGTACAACCACCCAATTTCTAGAAAAGAGAAAGGAAACGATTCGATATGAGCTTTTTTTTGATCAGAAGACTCAATGGAAAGGGAGGGGTGGGAATATGAATCCACATGATTTTTCAAGTCTTCCTTTTGTACAGTCATTAAGATGACCAGGTTTGTGCTGCAAAGAAGCCAGCACAGTGTGGCTACTGCTCTGATTGTTCTCAGATGAATGTTTATACAAAATAATATCTCCATTTAGTTTATAAACATACACAGTGCTGTCCCTTTCAAATTAAGGAGAAAAAAAAAACCCCACACACAAATACTGCAAAGTAGCAAAATACAAAGAAAAAAAAGCTACTTTTGGTTTTGGCAACATTAAAAAAAAAAAAAGAAATATAAAAAGCAATGTGGCATTGGTCCCTGTTTGTAAAAAAAAAAAACAAAAAAAAAACAAAAAAACAAAGGTACTTGGGCAGGACACTGAATCAGAATTGGTTGGTTTTCTAAAATTCAGAATATCTGGGATTATCAAAGTAGCACTTTTGTCTTTTAGAAGTTCACAAGTCACATAAACACTTAAAACATCAAAAAAAGCTTTCTGGTAAAAAGCTCAGCTTTTAAACCACATTTTGTTTCTGCAAATTTGGGAGACGAGTTGAGTCCTTACTGGAATGTGGCCTATCGCTGGTCGACAGATCTGAAATGTCTCCAAGTGGCAGTGCCTCCCTTTCGCCCTCCCTGGGACCACACCAACTACCAGCCACGAGCGCGCGTTCCTGCTCCGTCTGCGGGGTGGGGGGTGGACCTTCAGGCTGCTATCTTTGCCATCTGCTGTTCTAACTTGGAAATACGCTCATCTTGATTGCAGATTGTGTCTTTTATAGATTTGATCTCTTTCAAAATCTCATCCAATTTGGCTTCATTTTGCTAAGGAAACAAAAAAAAGAGGGGAGGGAAGAGGGTGACTAAAAAGCAGCAACGTTCAGCACAGGTAGAATGCACGGGGTATAACTGTGACCTTCCGTTTTGGAAGTGGCAGGCTGCAGCGGCCCGGCTGAGCCTTGTAGGAACGCCAGGAATGCTGGCTTGGCCAACTGGCACCCACAGCGAAGCAACAGTGTATCACGGTTCCTGGCCCCACCTGTGCGCCTACCTGGATGGAGACTCCTGGGACACAACTAAACTGCAGGAAGAGACTGATCCCTGCAAGGCTGCCCCATATCCCAACCACCCCGATCAGCCAACTCCAGCAGGAGCATCTTCTATGTGACCAGGGTGACGGGTGACCCTCCAGAGGCTACTGAGCCCCTATCAGCTCCTAGAAAGGTCCTTGGAAACTACATCCCTTGCCCTGCCTGCTCCTCTAAAGAGCCTGAGCTTCTCCCTCGTGGAGCTGATTCTTCTGCAGGAAACCTGCAGTCCCCGAAGTTGTGGTGCCTCATGTGGCTTGCTCGGTCACAGTCAAAACACTAGCTCCTGAGGGCACTTTGCCTCTTGTCTCTGCCACCTCCACATCGACAATTCCCGGCCGCTCCTGGCCCCCAGAACTCCACTCTACAGCCTGCCGACGCCAGCCCCCTCTCCTCCCTGGCTCGATCCTGCTCTCCCGTGGCCACAGGGGTCTTCACTGTCAGCCTCTGGTCTCCATCACTCCCCTGAAACAATTCTTGCCAAGATGCCCAGGATCATCTCTGCCTCTAAGTCCCACTCACCCCAGATCCTTCTGCCACTCAAACACTTAGCAACTTCTAAAATCTCTCACCACTCCCTCCTTCCTGGGACCTCATCTTCCCGGCATCGGTAACAGACTGACTTCTATCCTGGTCATCATAAAAAAGAGAGCTAAAGGAGTCAAACTCATAAATGTCACGTGATCAAAGTGGTTCCTAAAAACAGTGTCTGTTACCATTACTGAACCCCATCCGTCCAGCAGGGGCAGTGCCCGCAGACGCCCAGGCTGGCAGGCACGTTCGGAAGGGCCAGGCCGAGCCGGCCCAGCACGCCCCAGGCCCTGCGGTCCTTACCACGCTGGCCGTGTCTGCGGTCTTCTTGGGGACGCTGATCAGGTCGCACTTCTTGTTTGTCGTGGGCTTGCTGTCCAGAATGTTCTTCTTGACCACCTTGAGGTCCCTGTTTTTGCCGGGAATGTATCCGTGCTTCAGGGAGATGAGGAGTGGATCTGCATTCCTCCCCTCGAACCACTCTTCCGCCTCCAGCGCCGCTTCAGGCCCCGCCGTGTCAGGGTACAGGTCATCCTGGAAAAGGTCAGACTACACGAGACACAGTGGAGAAATCCACAGGTAAGGAAGGGAGCTCTGGGATTTTTAAAACCTTTTTAAAACATGGATTGCCTAGACAACTGGGCACTTACCTTCCTGGGGACAGTCATGATAATAGGCTCACACTTTCTCTCGTGAAGTTTGAAGAATCTTCAAAGGAGAAATAAAGGCAAAGTTGCATTAAGTGAAACAGGAGGCCAAGTAACAGGCTTAATAATTCACTCGTACATTCTGTGTTTGCCCATCACCTCATCTGACGCATCCTGGGGAGCAGGTAGAATTCAGTGTTCCCATTTCAGAGAGGAGAAAATAGAAGCTGAGAGTAGCTATGCTAGGGGACAGCAGATAGGAGACACGAACAGAGGCCTATGCATTATGGTGACAGTCAAGTTCCAATCACCTGGGGGCAAATCAACTGTGGGGAAATGATTAACACCACCTACAATGAACCGCTTATGAGAAAATTACCAAGTCAGAAGACAATTACCAAGCCAGAAGACAATTACCAAGCCAGAAGACAGTGAACACACATGTCTCAAGAGAGTACCTATGACCTGGATGCCACGTCTTCTGCCAACGTGAAGTGGCTGAACTTTCGTTAAGTATAAATAGGATTTTTAAAAAGAAACGAAAACAATCCTAGGAATTAAATGTTGGCATCCGAGCAAACCACATCATGCACAACACTCAAGAAAAATCTGGAACTATCCAGGGTGTAGGAAGAGTAGGAAGACCAAGCCCAAAACCTGTGCGGTCAGCCCAGTGGTGGGAAGGCTGGCCTGGGCTGGATGGCCAGCTCCACCCCCCACACCTGGGCATGTGCCCACCTGACCCAGCCTCGAGCTCCTCATCCACATGGGGGGTAAACCAGCACCCGCCTCACAGCATGGGTACGAAGAGAAAGGGGATCCGGGCCGTGTGAGTAGCACAGCGCCCAACACGTAACCAACGCCCCAGAAATACTGAGTGAACAGGAGGCGTCCTGAATGACTTCCTTATACAGTCATCCCTCTGTATCTGCGGGGGATAGGTTCCACGAGCTGCCACGGACACCAAAATCTGCGGATGCTCAAGTCCCTTACATAACATGGCACAGCATTTTATACTCTAAGTCATTCTAGATTACTTACAATACCCAGTACAACGTAAATGCTATGAAAACAGTTGTAAACACAAAGTAAATGCTACGTAAATGGTTTCCCATGCGCCACAAATTCAAGTTTTGCTTTTTGGAACTTTCTAGAACTTTTGTTTCCAAATATGCTCAATCCTTGGATTTGGAACTCGCAAATACAAAGGGCCGACTACGTCTTTTAAACTTTTAGATGACAGTAAAATAAATGTGTTCCCAAATCCTGAATGTAATTTTGAAATTCAGATTCAATCTGTTTTGAACCACATTTTGATTAGTTTGATTTAAACCACAATTTAGAATTATCTGTGACAGCTTTCCTTCATTATTCTAGCTATAGAGTTGAAGGTATTATTTAAAAAAAAAAAACAAAACAAAACCGTGCAGTGATTAATATAAAAAAAAGGGCTCATAAAGATTTCTTATATTTTTAAAGACGTGTCAATTATTTGTGTGACCAGGTCAGCACGCTTAGAAAAATGTCCATATAAACACAGTGTTATAAAAACTCCACAGAGTAGTCCAGAGAGGCGGAAGTTACAACACACAGCTGAGCTTCCTAAGCCAAGCTAACCTAACACCTGCTGTGGAACTTTGTTTCTCTAGTGTCGGATCTGCGGGCTCCACAACCCGGTTTGGAACCTGGCTGGTCCCTCTGCAGGGCAGGAAAACCATCCCTCATTTCCATCCCAGGGACAGGCTCTTCCTGGTTGCCTCCCAGGGGACGCTGGCCACAGTCGCAGCCTGAAGACAAGCGACGATGGTTTCACTACTTAAATCAGGGTGTGATACACCCCAGTGAAGCCTCTTAACCACTGCATTTCAAGTTTATCTTCTGAAGGACGGGGAGGGCACAGCTGGATGGGATGATTTTGAAGGGTTTCTTCTTGCTTTCAAGCCCCGTGCTGCTAAGACCGGGCAGGAAACAAGACACTAATTCTACGATTCTACTGCACACACACGGGTAGAAAGACTCAGGCGTGGACACGGACGGCATAAGCAGGCTGAACACTTTCCGACACCGATTCTTTACCTGGCAATCTCACATTTGTTGACATCGAGGCCCCTCTTGGGCATGTAACCCATCCCCCTCTGAGGCTCCTTGCTGCTGAATGTGTTGAGGTAGTGGACATATGGGGATTCGTCTGTGATCTCAAAATAGCGGATACTGCTGTCACCCTACGAGGAATCGGAGACAGGTTTGTGTTTCACGTTAGCCGAAATATCTGATTTAGGTGGGTGTCTCTCTCCTCTATACACCCAGCACTGACTGGGACTCCGCTACGCTGGCTGACCTTTCCTCCTCTTAGGAGGCTTGCCTCGAGTACATGATGGTTTCTCTTCCTGGCAGAGCAAGCCCTCGCTTGTGCAAGGCTAGCTCGCCCTTTAAGCAGCCTCCTCTGCCTCCTCCTGAAGGTTCTGACTTTCCTGCACTGAGTCTGGCCCCGAGTCAGAGTCGGAGCGGAAAGGTTAACACCTCCGCCCAACAACTGCGCCACAACAAACAAACAGAAGACCAAGAGGGCTCTCGGGCAATTACTGATTTTTCAGCATACCTCCATGGGCACAGACCTGAGGGCACTAACACCAGACAATCAGATAATAAGAAGGAAGATTTTTCTAATGAAGAGACATCAGTTTTAGTGAGTAACCTTTAACTTCAGAGGAGAATGCTATCCCATTACAATGTGTCAAGTTCTGTGATAATTTGGCTTAGAATGGTCAGATTTTTTTGAAGACCTGAAGAACCTGCTAGCCTCTCTCAGTGTAAATAACTGTCTGCACAGTTACATGAACCTGAACAATGAAGGCAATTCTGCCTGAGGGGAGAGATGTGTGTGTAAGAAGAAGTGATAAAGAGCTAGGCGGTACTCTGCCCTAACAACCCTCTCCTTTCTCATATTTCCAATTGTTTCAATGATGTAACTATCTAAAGCAATGGAAGACAAGCTAATCATACACTATTTGTTTTCTACATACTCACAGTAACTTTCCACCCAGTGTTAGTAACATCTAGCTAACAATGCAGTCTATGGCAGCTGTTAACATCTCAAGTAAAATGACTTTCAAGGAAACAGACAAGATCTCAGTTTCTAAATAACTGACCTATAAAAATGTCAAGCAGGTCTGCAGCCCACTCCACCAACTGTGAACAGAAGTAAAACACCCCCAGCTTCATCCCCAGCAAGGGACTATCTGACAGGTTTGGGGAAGGGAACACATCAACAGCTCCATTTGTATTGATTCATTTATTTCAACTACAAAAATTCTAAGGGAAATTGAGCCTACAGAAGAATAAGGAATACTGAGGTCTTTACCTTCTAAAACGAAGTAACAGTAATGATAATAAAGCTACCAACACTTTAGTTAGGCAGAAATCATCAGGCAGCAGGAAGGTGTCCTGAGTTCAGTGTGGGGTCTTCTTGTAACAACTGTCACCTCCTGACACTTGAGTCAGGCCATGTAATTTCAAGGCCTGGGCCTTAACACTGAACTCCGGGAGCGAGAACCCTCTGGAGAGCCTCTGAGGCCCTCAAAAGCTTATACCCATGGAGCACTATTCTCTATACAATTGCTCATCTACTAAATCTCTGAAGGATAAACTCTTCTCCTTACAAGATTAAATTTAAGATCAAACAGCAAAATTACTGTTTACCTTTCCACATAAGTAAATGATACTGGTGTCGGGGTCATAGAAAGGTAGCAACACCCCATTGCTAGTGTCCATTTCATGAAGAGCAATTGGTTCCTCCATATTTTTCTGGGAAAAAAAAAATACACACACACGCACACACATTTTTAAAAGGTGAATTTTTATAAGATGATACATTTTTCATCCCTAATTAAGTTAGCCATTTCCCTAAAATAAAGTTTAAACAATGCACATATGATATTCATACATGTAATTACCAATAGGAATACTAGATGAGATCCAACTCACTGAAAATTGTGTCGATTTGGCAACATAACGCACACATCAGTATGATCCCATGACAGAGATGAGAGCCTATCTCCTTTGTGACTGCTTTCTTTTTTGTTTTTTTTTGCGGTATGCGGGCCTCTCACTGTTGTGGCCTCTCCCGTTGCGGAGCACAGGCTCCGGACCCGCAGGCTCAGCGGCCATGGCTCACGGGCCCAGCCGCTCCGCGGCATGTGGGATCTTCCCGGACCGGGGCGCGAACCCGCGCCCCCTGCATCAGCAGGCGGACTCTCAACCACTGCGCCACCAGGGAAGCCCCTGCTTTCTTTTTTATTTTATTTTATTTTATTTATTTATTTTTTTTTGCGGTACGTGGGCCTCTCACTGTTGTGGCCTCTCCCATTGCGGAGCACAGTCTCCGGTCGCGTAGGCTCAGCGGCCATGGCTCACGGGCCCAGCTGCTCCGCGGCATGTGGGATCTTCCCGCACCGGGGCACGAACCCGTGTTCCCTGCATCGGCAGGCAAATGCTCAACCTCTGCGCCACCAGGGAAGCCCCTGCTTTCTTTTTTAAAAGTACTTTTTTCTTATTACAAAAATAAACTCATGTTCTTTTAAAAATTAGAAGGTACAAGGAAAAACATAAAAATCATCCCATATTCCGTAATCCCACGGTCCAGCGGTGGGTAGAAACAATTACCATTTTGGCCTATTTCCTTCCAACATAGAAGCACACACAGATTGGGATCATACCATATATGCAGTTCAGTACGTTTTTCCCACTTGTGCTGTCATGAACATTTTCCCAAGCATGACTATTTTGATTTAGACATCTGATCATGTTCTTTAGAAAATATTTTAACTAAGTTTAGAACTTATTTCCCAAGTCTAAAACACTGGATTCTTCACGCATTCTTTCTAAAATCTACAGTCAACAGAGACTCCTTGGGAGTATTAAGAATGCATTTTTAAAATACATTTCGCAGTAAGTCTCCAGTGAGGATGAGAACTTCACATCCAACTTAAGACAAGCAGGAGTTCAGCAAACGACACTGAGAACCCTATAATCTACTGACCAACCCAAAGGCCCACTCAGAAAAGAGAAAGCTCGAGGCTGGGGAAGGGGTGGCAGGGCTGGGAAGGGGCGTACCGGGTTCCAGAGGGCCAGCTGCCGCTCGCTCATGCGGCTGAAACCAGTGGTAAAGACGTTGCCGTCAGCCAGAAAGATGGCCCTCATGGGTCGGGCTCCTTCATGTGCTTTCTCCTTCTCCTGGGCGAGAGAGCAAAGAGGCAGCTTACACAGTCAGACTGCAGGAAGGAAAAGTGGGGGAGAGCGGGGGCTCAGACAGTGAACCCCACCACCCCACATGGCACTCACATCAAAGGTGTGTGTGTGTGCGTGTGCACGTACGTGCACGAGCGTGTCAGTACTGGCCACCTCCCCTCCCTGAAGGAGGAGGAAACAAAGCGACACCAAGGGATCTGGCCAAGGCCCCTCGGCTGGTGAGCGACCAATCGTGCCAGGTCTGGACTGAAAGGCCTCAGTCCTTCCACCAGCCCCTGCCACCAACCCAAGTCCAGGCTCTGCAAAAACAAAACACACGAAACGGCTCTGCCAAGCCTTTGTTTCTCAAGAGTATGATAACAATCTGAAGGTGGACGGTCGCTATAGCATCTCGCAATTTCACAGGACAGAAAGTGGAGTCTGGCTAACCCGTTCCTTAGCCTCATCTCTTCAGTGGGAGTCCACCAGCCCCACCCCTTGGAAGGTTCTAGTGGAGAAAGCACAGGGTATGGGGCCTTGATAAGCACCAGCCATGCCTGTCACCCGACTCTTGAGAATTATCACCGGCCATGAGCCACCTTCTCAGAGAAGGGCCGTGACGAGGCACAGAGTGGGGTGGAAGTGAGGCACCTCTGGATTCAACACTTGCAGTGTCAACCTGACTAAAGGCCCAAGTGTCCACCTTTTGCTGTGATGTGTGATTCTGTGGAGGCCTAGTTCAGGTGGCAGAAACGGGGACGCTGAGCTGTGGAGAGAACCCATGGCATCTTGTCAGGCCCTTTAAAGACCGACTGGGGAGCAGGGGAGGGAATCAACAGATCCATCTGCAGTCCTAAGCCAGCATGCAGTAAACTCTGTGGGTTAGCTGCTCTAGACTTGCACATTCTTAAACAAACTGATAAAAAAAAAACTTTGTTTCTTTGTGAGAAATGGTCACCAAGTGAGAGGGAAGGCTTGGGTAAAAGCTAGAAATGCACAGCTCTGGAGGGAAGGGCAACTGGGAGACAGAAGCCTGGCCGAGACTTTTCTGATTCACAGTTTGGCGTCTGCACACAGCAAAGGTCCACGGACTGGCAGTCCCAGCCCCTGCGGTCTGCCTTAAAACGCAGAAAGTTCTCACTCCCTAAAGCGCTACACATACTGGGGCTTTTGTCCTAAGAATACTTACAGCAACAATCTCCTGTTTCCTAGGGTCGATTACTCTCACTTTCTTATCTTTGGAGGCTGTGCAGATCAAACTGCCGTTCCGGTTCCAGCTCACGTTGTAAATCATGTCCGAATGTATATCGCCCAGGTTTAAAAGGGCTTCCCCCGTCCCCACGTTCCAGATGATGATGGTGTTATCACAGCCTGAAAACAAGCAGAACCACACCCCTCAGGGATGAGAAATGCCTGCACAACAACACATTTGTGAAAACTATCGATACAAATACAGGGAGGATAAACACACCTATGTATTGAAATGGAGATGCTAATTATAAGAAGGCTTACTTACTGGCAGTCAAAAACTGATGTGACCAAGAAAAAAGAAATTTGTGTAAAAGAAACACATTAAAGGAAAAATACAGCTTGTGAAGTTTGGGCTCATGTGAAACAAACAAAAACACCAACCAAACAAATAAAAACAAAGAACAACAGGAAAATAGAACCCTATGTTTTTTTTAAGAGTTAACTGGGCTGGTGGACCCTGAGTGATCTTAAGTTTCCTTTTCTAGTAAAACAAGCATCAGAACGAATACAGCTTCTTTCTTTTCCAGAGGAACTAAAAATAAAGGGTTTAAATGGTGGTTTAGGAGGCTCAAGACAAAGACTGGATAGCAGGTTATTCCCATCAACCATGCTGTTAAGACATGGTCTTGCACAAAAGCATGTAAATTACAAGTGAAGGGAAATGCCTAGCCATCTGCTCACAGCAGATCTTTATCTTTAAAAGGGGAGAAAAATAGGCCAAGACTGGCCCGATTTGAGAAGCACAAACTGTCGTCAAGTAGGCATGTGAATTCAGAACCTGATCCCCAAAGAGGTCACAGGTCCACTGAGCCACAGCCCCTCAGCTCTTCAGCTCCATCCTCCCTTCCCTCCAGGGCTGGCCCCAAGTCCCTGAGGCCCCTTTAAAAAGAGGCACCATTTGCTGCTTCCAGGACATTAGCTCAAGGATGAAGCAAAATAAGGGATGGACATCCTGAAGATGGATTCTTGTCAATAAGCCAATTCTGCAAGCACTTAGAAAAATTATCCACTAATAACCAGGACACCTAAGTTACCGAGGGTCAGAAGTAGGAAATGGGTGAAAAAAACTACGACAGACAGTATGAAAAGTTGGAGCTAAACTCTGCGATGGAGATTTGACCCATCACAGGCAAATGAGTAACTTCAGCCACTGTGGATGGATCACATAGTCTTAAACTATGCAAAACTATAAACAACACTGCAATCAACCATTCTCCTCTGCGTGTAAAAGGGAGACTGGGCTCAGTCTGCTGATGATACCCTAGATTTGACCTCGATGAGGCGGCCAGTAGGGTAATTTCCATGAGGGAATTCCACCTTTGGAACTGTTTCCTCTCCTTATCAGACTGAGGTTCTGAGTAGAACACTGGAAGGCTTCCCAGTTATATAGTCAGTTGTGATTTAAAACAAGAGAGTCTTACTTTTTTTTCTTTTAAGTAGTTCTTGGTTTCAGTAGGTACCAGGCATTAGATTTTTAACTTAACTCACTACGTCACAAATACCTTTCATACTCAGTTAAAAACCGACCTGCTTCTCTCCTTTTTACTGGTGAGGAGAAAGATCTTTAAAATTCTACCACTAACGCTAGCACTGCTTTTTTTATAAGCCAATCTTACTAAGGTATAGTTTGCATGAAATACAATGCACCTATTTTAAGTATACATCGGTTAAGTTCTGATACATGTACATATTCATGTAGCCATCATCACAGTCAAGATCAACATTTCCATCACCCCACAAAGCTCCTTCCTGTCCTTTGTATTGCTTCTATAAAAGCAGATAAAATCTCAGATTTTAGACAAAGAAAAAGATTTCTTTAAGATGAAACTTGGAAACTACACAAGTGGGAAACCAATAGGAACACTAGGACTTGGTCACAAGGGTTCACTGCAGTGCTGTTTAACAGTGAAAAATCGGAAACAACCTCAATGTCCAAAAATAGGGGACTGACTAAATAAACAGGTATTCAGACAATGGACTATTAATGGAGTCATTAAAAATATCATACAACATGTAATGGCACCTGAAAAGGACCACAGTGTACCAGCAAGTGCAGAAACAGGTCACATGTAAAGTGTCTGAACCCATCTTTGTATGTAAAATTGTTTATGGGCACAGAAATATCTCTGGAAAAAAAACATCAAAAGGGTAATAATGATGTTTCCTCTGGGTGGTGGGATTGTAAATGATTTTTCTTTTCTCCCTTTTGTTTATATATATTCTCCATAGTACACATGGACTACAAGTATAAGGAGAAAGATGAAAGTATTTTTTAAAAGGAAGGAGGGTATTTGACTAACAGGATCACCCCAAAGTTGGCGGCAACACCAAAGCTGGAACCCAGGGCTCCTGGCTCCTACTCGGGCTCCTTCTACTACATCAGGAATAACTACAACTGAGGGCCATGGAGGCATGGAGGGCCCCAGCAGGAACCACGACTCTGCTGAAATGTGATTATATAAGTAAGCATGTGTCTGTTCCTAATTCTAGGCAGGAAATTCACAGCTTCCATTGGCTTTGCCCAAGTGGCCTCGACACACACACATGCACACGGGTGTTAGGGAACTCCCACATTTAGGCACCCTGTCGTGGGTTCCAATGATCTGCTTCACAACTGCCAAGCACAGTCAGCATGCGTCTGCTGTTCCCTCCACACAGAGGCCACGAGAAGCGAGGGCAAGGGGAAAGCAGAGGTCAGCTCAGCTCCTACCTGCACTGAGAAGCACGTTGCGGGCTGTCGGGTGCCAGGCCACGATGCCGACTCTCTTTGAGTGGCCTTCTAAAATGACCACGGGCTCAGTCAGGGAAAGGGTGAGTCCATTTTCTGGGATCTGCCATACCTGTTGGCAAAGGAAGAAAGGTCATCCACATGAAAGCGGTCGGCTTTCGTTATCACGTTTACTGTGACCATCCAGTGTGAAGCCTTGCTCTGCATAAACAGAACATACAGTGGTCTTTGGATGAAAGGCAGAATGTGGTGAAACACGTACAGCTGTTTTTCAAATGCAGTAGGAGAGCAAAGAGCAGAACATCCATAAGGTCTAAAAATGTTAGACCTCTCTGCTTTTATTTACTATTAGTAGAGATTTTATTTTAAATTCCCTGTTAATGGGGCTTCCCTGGTGGCACAGTGGTTGAGAGTCTGCCTGCCGATGCAGGGGACACTGGTTTGTGCCCCGGTCCGGGAAGATCCCACACGCCGCAGAGCGGCTGGGTCCGTGAGCCAGGGCCGCTGAGCCTTCACGTCCGGAGCCTGTGCTCCGCTCAACGGGAAAGGCCACAACAGCGAGAGGCCCGCATACCGCAAAAAAATAAAAAAATAAAAAATAAAATACATTTCCTGTTAAGTTCAAAACTCTCCAGTTAGAAGCATACCAAAAAATTGAAAGAAAAATACAAAATGACTGAAGCACTCATGAAGAGACGCACTGGAGTGAAAACCCCTAGCTAAGTCCATGATTCTTGAGGGGAAAGCAAACTCCATCCACCAAACCTTCTTGGAGGGTGGTGCAGTTTTTCAAACATCATATTTTCTATAATTTTACATTGAGAAAATGAAAAGATAGCTAATAGCTTTGTAACATGTACTAAAGAAATCTTCTTACAAAAGAAAAACATTAATTGGACTTCATCAAAATTTAAAACTTTTGTGCTTCAGAGAGCACTGTCAAGAAAGTGACAAGACAACCCACAGAATGAGAGAAAATAATTTGCAAGTCATATATCTATCCGAAAAGGGACTTTTTTTTTTTTTTGAGGTACGCGGGCCTCTCCCTGTTGTGGCCTCTCCCATTTGCTGCGGAGCACAGGCTCCGGACACGCAGGCTCAGCGGCCACGGCCCACGGGCCCAGCCGCTCCGCGGCATGTGGAATCTTCCCGGACCAGGGCACGAACCCCTGTCCCCTGCATCGGCAGGCGGACTCTCAACCACTGTGCCACCAGGGAAGCCCCCGAAAAGGGACTTTTATCTAGAATATTTAAAGAACTCTTACAACTCAACAATAAAAGGAAAATAACCAAATTTTTTAAATGAGCAAGGAATCTAGATGTTTCTTCAAGGAAGATATATGAACAGCAAAAAAACACATGAAGAGCTGCTCAACATTATTAGCCATCAGAGAAGTGCACATCAAAACCACAATAAAATATCACTTCATATCCACTAGGAGTTTGGAATCAAAAAGACAGATAACAACAAGCACTGGCGAGGGTACAGAGAATTCAGAGCCCTCATACGCTGCTGGTGGGAATGAAAAATAGTGCAGCCACTTTGGGCAACAGTTTGGAAGTTCCTCAAATGATCAAACACAGAGTTACCTATGACCCAGCAATTCTACTCCTAGGTACCTACCCAAGAGAAATGAAAATATATGTCCACACTAAAACCTGTACACAAATTTTATAGCAGCATTATTCATAACAGCCAAAAGGTGGAAACAACCCAAATGTCCAGCAACTGATAAATGGATACACAAAATGTGATACATGAAGGAATATATGACCACAGAAAGGGATTAAGTACTGACACACACTACAACATGGATGAAGCTTGATAATGTTAGGTTAAGTAAAGAAGCCAGTGATGACACTCCGCATATTGTAGGATTCATGTATATGAGATGTCCAGAAAGGAAAATCTATAGACACAGAGAGTAGATTAGTGGTTGCTTAGTGCTGGGGGTGGGGGAGGGGTACAATAGGTAAAGAATATGGGGTTTCTTTTTTGGGGGAGGTTCTTTTTGAGGTGGTGAAAACATTCTAAAATTGTCTGTGGTGATGGTGGTACATATCTGTGAATATACTAAAGACCACTGAATTGTACACTTTAAATGGGTAAGCTATATGTGAATTATATACCTCAATAAAGCTGTTAAAACCAGATATTAAGTAACATTTAAGTTTGTGAACAGGCTAAAGTTTAAAACAATTATCTTCTTCTGTATGAAGATTAAAATGAGTAAATCTTCTACCAAAAAAGATCTTAGGGAACTAGTTCATAACAAATTTAGAACTTGCCAGGGGGAAAAAATCATACTCAACAGTGGAACAAGTGAGAAACAGAATTTTCCCTTGTTGGGGATTTTTAAGGAGGAGACAAACAACTGTCTGTTTTCGACTGCTTGGTGGAAAGGCAGAGTCTGAATTAGGAGTGGTTAAGGTTCAGCTCGGTTCTGTTGTCCTGAAAAAACTCAGAACAAAAATGGTGCCACTCTGAGGACTGCAGGAAAGTCGTGAATTAAGTGATCGTTCATAAACCTGCCTTCTGAGGGCATAAGTTTAGGACGTCACCTAATTTCCCCTGCACGCTCATCTTTCAGCAGATTTTAAACACGGCAGATATGAACAAGCATGGAAGGCAAAGGGAACCTACCTTGCCTCTCCCAACCCCTCACCCAGACCACTGCCTCTCTCCACCAAACATAACAAACTCCGAGTGTGGGCATCTGTTACCCTCCAGAGCTAACTGTTTGCTTTCACCTATTTTTATTCAAGGGTTTATGAACAGTAAAACAGCTCCACATTGAACTTGGCTATCTGAATGTAAAGCAGGACTGAAACTGTGAATAGAAGGAACAGAAAACAACTACTGGCTTAATCAAAGCACGAAGTGGGCAGAGAAACAATTATGAAACGAGACTTCAGAGACTCAACAGGAGATGCATTTTGCAAGATGAATTCCGACTCAGGCTTA